TAAGACGGTTGTCAGTGAGCGGAATTCAGACAACTCCTTTATTCTTAGCAAGGCTTTGTCTGAAATTCCTGTGGTTGTGTGCACGCACAGGGTCGGTGCAGCGCACGCGGCAGGTAAGAGATGGCTGCGGGTTCGGACCATGGCGCAGGGAAGGAAACTCGGCCTCCCGCACACAGAGCCCTTCGGGCCCACACGATTTTAATCCCTATCAGCCACGTAATTGTTTAAGGGGGACAACAATTTTTTAGCAGCTATTCGACTTGTCCAAACATTGTGCTTATAATAGATAACACTGGTCATGTGGAAAAAAAAATAGTCATTAGAAAGATAGACAAAAGCAATTTGCGGTGGGAAAGTGGGAAGTCGATCCCGAATTCAGAAGGAACTGTCTGGGGAGGACTGCAAGAACAGGAGGCAGAAAAATCAATCCCCGCACATCACAGGTGCTAAGTCACAGCGATAGGAGTTGTCCTTGACACGCGGGGATGAGAACGGCACTTCCTTTCTGTGGTTTTCCTTCCCCAAACCCACACACACAGTCTGGTCATGAAAAGAGATTGGACAGTCCAATATTGAAGGAACTCGGCAGAATATCTCACCAGGGTCACCAAAGCAAGGGAAGTCTGGGCACTGTCACCGACTCAACAAGCCTAGAGAGGCGTAATGACGAAAGGTACTGTGACGTCCCAATGCGGTCCTGGAACAAAGGGCATGAGGTAAAAACTAAGGAAATTCGAATAAAGTACAGACTGTAGTTAATAATAATGGATCAATACTGGTTCATTAGTGGTGATGAGTGTGAGATGTTAACAGGGAAAAATGAGTAGGAGATACACAGGAATTCTGTACTATCTTTTCGACTTTACTCTAAATCTAAGTTTGTTCTCAAATAAAGATGCTACGAAAGAAATCAGCTCCAGGAGCCATATTAGCACTGGTCAGTGGATTGAGGTGTGGAATTACATTAGTACTTGGATTATTTGAGGACAGTGAAGACAGGACGATGACTGGCAAAGGGTCATTTTAGCAGCCAAGTTTGAAACAAGCCAAGAAAGGGAGAATGGTCATTTTATATCGGTTGACTGCGTCTTCAGACCAAAAGTCTTTAACGCTCAGAGATGGGAAGGTGAGGGCCAGAGAAATGTTTTCACACGCATTAAAGTATTTTACAGAGAAGACATTCAACATTTAATTTCTCTAGAGTGGGACGGAGAGGAGAGGTTTAGAGGGAAGCCAAGGGACTCTAGCAAAAACCAGATAACCCCCTAGCTGGGAAGGTTGCAGTACAGAGCAGAATACATAATCAAGGGAGGTTCGGAATCTCTAATCCTGGAGATTTTTTACAGAGTCCCGGACGGAGAGGAGGCCCCTGAGGAAGCAGCCCCGAGCCCTGCTTCCTGTTCCCGGCAGTCTGTTTTGAAAAGCAACACGTTCTGAAAACAAAAGGCTACAATACAAAAGAAAACTATTAGTGTTCCAACTCTGACAATTTTTATGTGGGTCACATTTTGCTGAGAATGTTCTTTACCCTAACAGTTAATCTCGGAGTCTTTCTTTAGGGTCCTTACACCCAGCAGGTGCTGCAATGGGCAAACACCACACTGAGCCTGTACTCCAAGGCCGAGGCTGTGATCAGTGGGGGCAGAACATGCATTAAACCTAGATCCTGAACGTCCGGCCCTTACTACGATCCGGCTCAACTTCCTCGCACTGAAAGCATGTTTGTTGAAGCAGAGCCTGAGCAGAAAGGAATTCTGGAAGTAAGCGTGGGAGACCGAGGCTGAGTGGTGAGTGGGCAGAAAGAGTCAGAAAACAAGGCACATGCAAAGAGAACCAGAGGGACCCAGAGAGAGTAGGCCCAGCTGGTCAGTCCTGAGTCCTGCCTGGGGCTGTTTCTCGGCAAAAATGTTCTTTTTGTTTGGGAACACATACCCCTGGGGCCGCTGGTGGTCAAGGATGTTGCCACATGGAAAGCAACACAGAGAAAATGGCAAGAGCGAGAGGAAGGGAGAGTGAGCGAGCAGGTGTGTGAACACGTCTGGGACATGACGCTGTCTCGTGACCCTCGGGGTCCAGCCACGCCGGAAGCCGTCTGATTTACCAGTGGCTTTCCTTCTTCAATAGGGCTGTGACTGTCCACAGAAAGGACTGTAAGTAGGTCAGGTTGAAGAAGAACCGGGAGAGGAAATAGGGCAGGAACCCCAGACCGTTGGGGGGACAACAGTGAGAGCAGTGCCTTTGGTGCAGTCAGGAGCTCCGGGAGGGGAGGAGACCCTTTTCAGTGTAAAGACAACGGGGCCATTTAGGCAAATACTGAAAGAGATGGAAAAATTGTCTTTGAAAAAATGGTCAACTTTGATCTCGAGGACAGATGGACAACCACGCTCTGCCCCTAAAATGCAATACTATTCAGCATGACAAGGGGATGGGAACCCTGCTATCATACGGGAAGAGATATTCCATCATGAAAATAACTTCTGCCAACTTCTCCCCTCCGTTACAAGAAGAACTTCATAAACATAACAAAGCATGGCGTTAGCCTACCAAGTAGTTAACAGGATGCGGAATAGGAAATAAATCTGTAATCTTTTTTTCTTGATTTCCTCTCACCCTGAGTATCCATTAGTGCCAGACAAAAAGCTGGCTTTTTCTTCCTGCTATCCAGTGTCCGGACTTGGCCAAACTTTTGTTGAGGTAATGAGGTTCACTTTTCAAAAGAATAGCAAAGACCTGTCCCTTATTTCCTCTCTAGAGTCACACTGACATGGAACAAAGTTACCCATTATGGGAGAATTCCCAGCTTTGCTCAAATTATAAACATCAGTGGCCACCTCTCCCGAGATTTCAAAGAACAGACTGGTGTGGGTGAGTTAGGCCTGTTGTTAGCAGAATCACCCAGGTTCGTGTGACGCTTTGTTTTAAGAAAGACAGCAGAAACAATGATAACAGTTTGCTTGGGTTGTGCGCTGATCCTTGAAACCCTGACAGTTACTCACATCACTTACTGGGTGGAATAAGTGTGGAGTAATTACCCCGAGGGGAACTGAGGGCACGACTTACATTATAAAATGGAACTGAGCACGTGAGACCAAGTACTAGCGGGCGTGGTAGAAGAGATCTTGGTCAGAATAACAGAGATGATTAAAGACATGAATTGGGCAGCAACTGGGCTGAGCACTTCTTGGTGACATGAACCACAGCTGAATTGTGCAATTACAAAGTTGAGCGTAACTCGGAGAGCTTCTCTCTCTTTTCGCAAACGGCTGACGCCGGGTGAGCTTGTGTGAGTCCTACAACGGCTTGCCACGGAGGCTGCGCGCTCTCTTGCCCTGGGGAGCCTTTTCAGAACGGACAGGACAGGAATCAGGGATGCTGTGCCGCTGGACATAAGATGCCACATTATTAAATATTAGGCGTCGAGTGGCCACCCAACGAAAGGACGCTTACCCAAGCAGCCCTGCATGTGCAAGAATGAAAGGAATCAGGAAGAGCTGCATCTGGTCCCTGTTCAGAGCTGTTGTTTTGCAAGTAGCAAAAGGAAAATTAGCTATTTCTGACTTTTTTTTTTGTTAAGTGGGTGGCACTGGGAGATAAAAGGGACAGTTTAGATGACTGCTTGTGACAGATTGCCTGATATCGTGGGATTATAAAGTTGAGGATCTCTCAAGAATCCGGCTTATGTGGAGTCTGTCCAGATCCAACCCTGTGTCCAAACTATCCTTAACAGGTGGACAGATCTTCTATTTTTATAGATTCTGGGAATGAACATGTACAATTTTACCAACAGACAAAAAGTAGTATTTTAAATAACAAAAAGTAAAATATAAAAGTATAAATTCATGGTAATATTTTAGGATGATTTCTAAAACAGAGTGTATAATCTCACTCGAAAGCTCCCCTCCTTCTGCTGACCTTGAGGACAGAGGCACCATCAGCACGAGACCCAGTGCAGCGGCGTTCCAGGGCCCTAGCCTCTGCCCAGGGGCCCGGTTTTCGGGATTTTCCCCTGTGAATTTCACCTACACCTCCTCCATCTCTATGCTGGAAACCACTGTTAACCAAGAAATAACAACTTTGCAAAGGACAATGATTAGAAGTAAGTTACTCTGAAGTTCACCTTGCAAATAATGTAAGCATTTTACTTGCAATAAATCTTCCACGGGTTAACTCTAATATTAAGTTCAGAGCTGGTTTTGTTTCTTTCATGCTCTTGCTGTTAGTTTGCTTTTTTCTACCCTCCTTCTGTCCCTCCGTTTGTGCATTCGGATCTGCCATCTCCTTTATTCCTTCTCCCCATCGTTTTTTTCTTTGCCTCTATTGTAACTGCCCAACACACACTTGTGACTTAATGCCTTCAAACAGTATTGATTTTGTAGTTATTGAGTAAAGTTGATGTGCCCTAAAGTTTGCAAATTACTCTTCTCTGGTTCTTGATTGAAAAAGAAGTTTCATATTTTTATTTCATATCCTATTCCTTAATTTCCTTGAAATCCATAATTGAGTTATCTCGCAGCCATCTCCTTACCAGACTAATTGTTTTTCTCATATTCTCTATTTTCTGGCACCTTGATCGCTTCTGTTGTTCTCTTTTCAGACACTTTTTCATTAACTTGGTATCAGTTCAAATGACAACACTGGCCAGGGGCTCAGCTCTGAGCTCTGAGCTACGGTTCCTACCCCTGACAAGTTGTGAGGACAAAAGGTATTGCTTTTCGTTCTTGAGACACAGGGTTTAACCTCGCCTGACTTTGTTTCCAAGGTTTAATATCAAGCTATGTTTACACGGAGCATTTCTGGCTTCCCACGCCCCACGCAGGGAAGCCTGGATTACTTCCTCTTTCAGGGTCACAAGTGCCAGAGGCTCAGCACAGGCAGCATTCTGGCATAGACCTTCTGACAAGGTGGATACGTGTCCCCGTATGGCGACACACACTGCGAATGAAAGTGCCCGGTCTAGCTCCCCAGCTGTCCCCACAAGAGCCCCCACTCTAGCCACTTACTCTGGGAGGTGGAAAGACTGGAGAAAGCTGACTTCGTGCGACCCGCTAACCACTCCAGGCTTTCGTGCATGTTGGCCAAGGCTTTGAGGTCACTGACGTCTCGCAGGATGTCTTGTGGAGGGATTAATTTGTCGCCCAGGTTCCCGATAAGAACTTCCGACTCCTTGCCAAAGGCTGCCCTGAAAAGCAAACCAGAAACACTTCACACGCGGCTCGGAAAAGACAGGGGTGGGCAACACTTCTTCAGACACGTCTAGGCCCTGTCTCGGTAGCTCAGTTGGTTGTAGTGTGCTGCCTATACACCCAGGTTGTGGGTTCAATCCCCAGTCAGAGCACATACAAGAAACAACCCATAAGTAAATAAATAAGTAGAACAGCAAAGCAATGTTTCTCTCTCTCCCTTCCTTCCTCTCTCTCAAAATCAATAAATTGAAAAAAAACAAAAGACACCTGTAGCACAATGGTTTTTATAATCACTGTATTATAGCATGCTCTTTTACCTAGGTTTAATTTCATGACAGAACTATCAGATGCCTGCTTAAAATTACCCTGGTAGGAGAAAGAGTGCTCTTGGAAGAAGGAAGGGACCCCGAGGCTTGCACCTTCCACAGCAACGGGCATGGGCCCGAGCTGCACAGTGCCAGATGGCCCCAGGCGGTCTTCCCTTCCCTCTTCTCCTGCTATGGAAACTGACAAACAGCTTAGGGTGATAACAATATACCTCGTTTGAAAATTGTCCAGGTAAATAAAACCACCAAGTGAATCTGGCAGCTAGAAAACGGTTTGAAACATCGAAAAGCAAAGGGAACCCAGCCTCTCCAGGAAAGCGGACTGCAGCTGAGACGGGGTTGGGCCTCATCCCTTCGCTGGTTCCCTCATTCACTCATTCTGAAAAGGGCCTGGGGGCAAGCGGACTCGGAAGCGTGCAGGCACTCATTACTCGGAAAGGAGACCCGGTCAAGTCGGCGCCAGGATCCCTCTGCTGACGGGAAACATCAGGTCGGGAGGATTTCACGCAGAGCCCCGCGTCTTCACCATGAGACCACAAGTGCGCAGGCCTGAGCCGTCAGGCTGCATGGGGTGGCGGAAGGATGGGTGGGCAGGGACCCTGAGACCGTCCGGACCAGCCGTGGCGCAGAGGGAGAAATGAAGGCTCAGGAGGTTAACTGCTTCGCCCACAAGATACAGGAGTGGCGGGGCTGGGGCTCAGGCTGTCCAGTTCCGCCAGGTCTCTTTCTTTCAAAAGGAGAGAGGGCAGAAAGGATGAACGATGACTGAGGATGTCAGGGAGAAAAGTCCCATCTCCTTGGGAAAGCCAGGCCCGGGTGCAGCGCTGTTGAGCAGAGCTGTTGCCGGTGCAAGTGGCAACAGGCACCTGGAGGTGTCCTTGGAAGCCTCTCCAAGGCCTTTGAAACTCCAAACACCTTACTTAAGGGCTTTGCTGAAGTAGAACAAACTGGATTAACTTTCAAGCAGGCAGTGATTAATAACACTGACATACATGTTCAGAGTGATGCTTAGTTGACACAGGGATTCAGGACCCGGCACCACGGCAGACACCCAGGGTTGAAAGAAAGGGCTGCTGTGAATCACATGCTTATTTAAATGTTTATGATTCTGAGTAGCGACTCACGATTAGGCTTATTTCAACAGAAGGCCACGCGTCTAAGGGAAAGTCCTGAGTGACTGAGTCAGGGACATCATGGCCATGAAGGCGATCCAGCTCTGTGGACAGAGCACAGGCACTTGAGTGTAGCAGAAATCTGCCTCGGGGGCTTGTCAAAGACCTTGGGGTGGGGCCCGAAAGTCTGCATTTCAAACCGCCCTGGGCTGCGAGTCTGGGAATCGAGCTTCCTCTGAGTACAGTAGGGGCTCGGGCACAGATGTCAAGGTCAGGCAGACCTGGGTCTGAGTCCTGAACCCGCCACTTAACCTGCCGTCTGACGCTGCTGCCCTTCGCTGAGCGTCATGAGCTGCGGGTGTTGGGGCTGGCCACACGTGAAGTGTTCAAGAAGAAAATGAAGTGACTTTTAAAATCAGTACCGGGAGAACTTCAGTCATTACAAAAGGAGAGAAAAGAGTTTAATAAACCCCCATGCAGCCGCTGCTCGGCTTCAGTTATTAGCCTCCTTTGCATCTGTCCTTAGCCACAATTTTGAGGCGAATCATTCAGATGATATTCTTCAGCACATAACACAGCGCATGGAGCTCGCTGAAGGCTGACAAGCTGTAGCTATCATTACTCTTACGTCTGTTGAGATGGCCGGTTCATTGCGTTTCAACCCGAGATATGCTGTGGATGAAGAAATGAAAATAGACAGGAGTGATCGGAAGCAAGTCTGTTAGATCTCAAGGGCTGGTGTTACCCACGGGAACTTTTAACATCATAGCAAATGTCACTGTGTTTCAGAGCCCAGACTTCTCAAAATCTTCACGAGGTGAAGTGTGGCAGAAGCCACTCGCTGCCGGTCCAGTATCCGTGACCCCATGCCTTTTTAGGGGAAGGGCCCTGATACTGTTGGGGTCAGCACGCACCCAACCCACACACAAAATACAACAAAACGAAACACCCCATGCAACTTCCCAGCCCTCCTGCAGGCGTGGTGGTCAATGAGTAACAGCCAGAGTCAGTAGGTGGGCTTCCAAGGAAGCCCTTTCGAGCAGTCTCAGTTGGCAAGCACCTCGTTGGCCTCCCCGCTGACTGGAGTGCAGCCAGGGCATCAGATGACCCTGGGCATGAAAACAGCACTGAGAACAACGGAGCCGAAGGCAGCCGGGCGGAGGTGCACTTCTGGTTTCATTTTAGAGGAGAGAGCATGAACCCTTATTTGTTTAAGCCACAGCTATTCCAAGTTTCTGCTACTGGCAGCTACATGTAATTTCTAACTGCCACAATGATCTGATTAGCCTAAGTGATGTCATCCTTGGAAAACTTCCCCTGAATTAGATAGCCCTAAAATCGAGTTACTGGGAAAAGCAAAACAATGCCTCCGCTGCGATTTGAACCCCGCAGTTCTAATATCTTCCCCTTGGCTGTCACTCAGTCAAGTGGTAAATACTTGCTTTTCTTAATCTGTCCCTATACATCAACTCCCCCAGCCCCTTAATCATCTTGGAGAGATATAACACAGAAAGTGCCCCTGAGCTAGGCGGTTTAAAAAGCAACGGGGGAGGCAGGCAGCTTTGAAAACCAGGCTTGGAGCCATTTTTACGCGTGTAGGTGTCACCCTGGGTGGAATGTGACAATCAAGACAAATGTATTTATGTAGAAGTCTAATCTGCTCGCGGGGGGGGGTCCCAGGGCCCTGGGCACGTCTGCGGTGGCTGCCAGATGCCTATCCCACTTCCCTCCGGCTCACTGGGGTTTGCTTAACCTCCTCCGGGGGGAGAGCAATAGACTGAGGAAAGCACAAGCGGCGCCGTGTTGAATACATAGCAGACGTCTCATTTGACAGGAATCCATAATCGCCCCTAACAACCCGGAGAGCGCACAGGAAGCGTGACATCGGGAGTGAGTGACTGACAGCTGGAACCGTCCCGCACACAAAAAGCCATTCCTTCGAGGACCCACGGTGTCAGAGCGCTCGGTGCCCGGTTTTCTGTGTTACAATAACCTTCAGGGGGCGGCTTTAGCTGCCAGCCTACAGGTTTTGTCCTGAACCCTCTCATTTATTAAATAAATGATGGCATATCCACACTGTGGGGAAGTATGCAGTCCTCTGAAATTATACAGTAGAAAGTACTTGATACCATAGGAAAATGTTGCATATAGTATAATTTTTAGCCACGATATGCAGTTGAGTAAAATAAGCTGCTGTAAACCTGGGTGCACCATATAATATTCACAAAGAAAAATTACATATTTATAGGAACTGAGAAAAGACTGAATATATATCCAAATGCACCTGTGTGACTGGATCATGCTTTCTCCAAAGAACATGTTCACTTTGCAATTAAAAACAAAAACTGGGATCCCTACCACAAATGAGAAATGGACACGCGAAGAACTGCACCGTGGGAAGTGGGAGGGTGTTGTTATTGGAGTCACTTGAACCAAGCTGGGAGGCGGCGGGGGCTGGGCCGGAGGCTGGGTGGGCCTGCAGTGCCAGGCTGGCTCGAGGTGCGGCCGGGGTCCACAGCAGAGGGTCTCCCGGCTGGCCGGACCGACTGCCACCTACCCGCTGGGCCCATGCTGCTGCTGCGTCATTTATCTGAATCTTACTCTTTACCTTCTCCTTCTTAAGAAAGCACATTATTTAACGAAGACATTACATATATTTTTGAGTGAAATGGGTAACAGAATGGTCCTTATCTTGAGAAGTGAAGACACAGGCACTCAGCAATTGCCCAAAGATGATCTGACACAGCCAAGAGCAGAAATCGGCTGGGAAATGTGTGTGCTTGAGGCGCTGCTGAGTCCCTGTGAGGGATCGCCAGCGCCCCCTGTGGGCCGACATGCTCACACAAGAGCCTATGAAACAAACGGAGGGAGGGCGTCAAACCTGTTGAGCTTAATTTTACCACACAATTACAATCTTTAAAGAGCTTGATCTGACAAAGACTTCATTTGAAAGGATTTTATTGAGAGCGTAAAACCTGTTTAACTTAATTTTACCACGCACTCATAATCTTTAAAGAGGTCTATCTGACAAGAATTCATTTCAGAGAATTTTGCCAAAGATGCCTAAAATTGTTTCCATTTAGTCTTTCAATAATTCTGTTATGCGCTGAAATGTTAGGGAGGCAAAAAAAAATCTGCATTTTCAGCAGGCTGAAGGCACTTAGGAGAGAACATCGCAAATAGCGTCTAAGTGACTGATTTGCGAGTCTGGGCTTGTATTGGGTCACACAACGTACACACTGCGCTCTCTCTCCCTGCCCCGTTCCCCAAACCACCCAGGCCTGCTGCTTCCTGCGGCTGACCCCCGCTGGGAGATAAGCACCCCCGTGCCCCACCCTGCCCTGGGCCCAGGACACACGGCCTGAGGGCCAGTCCCCCTAGGGTCCAGAACAGAGCAGGGCATGGGCAGGGCGAGGACTCACAGAGGCCCTCCTAATGGGTGGGAGCTGGCATTTCCCCCACTATTTCATATGAGGTGCTTGCTGGTGGTGACTGACTTTCCCGCTTAGTGCCGAGGTCACCAGGTATGAGGAGGCACGTCTGACTGGGGATGGAGGA